CACGGGCAACATTATTGCCATCGCTGTTAATATATCATAGAAATTGTACACATTCAGTAATAAAATGTCACATTGGTGATTTAAGAAGCGGGATGATTTTAAAGATTTGTTAAAGAAGGGGGATGCCATCCCCCCTCATCTTCCCTCAACTCGAGTGCTGATTACATCATGTAGTTTTCTGCAAAAGACAGGAAAAAACACACTTCAGATCTTATTTATGCAAAAAGTAGATCCTGTTATAACATGGGCAATACATGTTGAACAGTTGTGTGTTTCAGATATAGCAAACTACATTTGTTGAGTTTACAAACCACAAAACATGTTTCCCACATTTTGTTTGGTGCAGCCAAAATGATGCCGCATCGTGTAAACTTATGGATTCCCACATAAAGTTGCATACATTTCCATAAAGTTACATCCTGTAACAGCATCTTAAATATATTTAATACAATTCGGTTCATTTATTTACTGTAGCGCCGATTCACGTACATGTCATCTCAGGACACTTTATAGAGACAATACAGTCATATTGGTTCAATGTCTCTGTCAAGGAGAACCAGTTGATTGCATCTTTTATTTCACAAAGGGTAAACTGTCTAAAGAGAATGATGCTCCAAGCCCTTTCAAAAGTTTGTGTTTTCACATGTGTAAAGTCATTTTCAACAGGGGGTGTTGTGATAATTTCTGTTTCTATTTGGAAAAAATATCTATGAGCCTATAGGCCTATTTAAAATGCCATAAAAATAAATAATTAAATAGATTGAGAGTCACTACTTTATTGTCATATAGACTTCAGTGCATGCAACCAGGGTCTGTAACACACAGATCATTAGTTCTCAGGTGAATATATGCTCTATTAATTAAACTTCACAATTACACTATAATAAAATAGATTTGTTCAGCTGGCATGAGCCTGAAGTCACTGCGTTTAGGTCTCTCGTGAATCTATTAGCTTCAAAATGCTTTTACGCAAACCACTATGCAATATTATACTATTAACACAATATTGAACAATTCTCCACATCCATTACACAAAGAACACAAGATCAAAATAAAGCTCAAAAATACCATGTAATATTATGTCAAACTGCACGAATAGATATGAAAGTGCTCGGCGGCACCATGCACTTACTTTGAGCTACAGGCAGGGGGCACTGCATGGTTACAGGTGTCCAAATGTTCAGGTGCGTTCTGGGGTCGTAGAGGTAAAGTCTCTCATGAGCGGACGAATCTGAAATGCATTTCTGTCCCATGTTTCCTCCTCGTTTCTGTCATTAGACTGTAAATTTACTAGCTGGCGCGTGCGGGATTCCTCTTCAGCGACCACTAGCTTGCTTGACATTGCTACGACAACGTAACATCCACGAACGTGTGTTGATTAGGCCTCAAAATAGTTAGATAAAAATCCAAATATGCATGATAGTAAAATAAAAAAAGTCCAAATCATTTCCCAAAATATTCTAAAGAAATGTATAATTTGTGTGAAGTATTTTTAATGCATTTTCTTTTTTCAATCTCCCTCTAACCACTAGGGGGTGCTGCGGCACCTCCACTTCCTTTGTGTAAAACACTGGAAAGAAAAAGGTTGTTTGTGTTGCTAAGCCTGTAAAAAATCTGGAAAAAAACAGCATATAGTAGCATTTTAAACATGTGGCATGTTTAAAATATAAATCATGTAAAAACATGTAAGAAGCATTTTCCGCTTGTATAACAGTGTTTTTAAATGTAAAACAACGTGGGTTCTTTTGCGGAGGAACGTGTAAAAAAAACATGTTTTGTCGAAAACAAAAAAATGAGACATAGGTTATCTTGTAATAAGGTAAAACAAATAAATATTGTTTAGATTTCGTTTCCTGCATGTTTTTATATTAATAATTTTATTTTTCTGAAACGATTTCCACCAATGCCTTCTGATGTCATCACATGTGGAACATTTTGCCATAAAGGCAAAGCTGCAGAGAGCTTTCCACTCTGTGGAATGATCTCTCAGCAGGTGGGTCGGCACATAGGGACACAAAGAGGATAATTCAACCATCCTGTACTTTCCTGCTGGGGAGAGACAGACACAGGTGGTCGTCACAAAGAGACACCAGGATGTTCTTATCTGCTCCATCTTTTTTGACTTTACCTTTTGTACGCACAAACAATCCCCCTTTTCTATGGGTTACTGGTTTGCCTTGTCCTGTTTGACGTAGATAAAGAATGTTGTTTAAAATTCACAAAATGTAGTTTAATGTCATGATTTAATCTAAAGATGAGACCCAAATGCAGAGAAACCAATTCAGAGAGACCAGGGGAAAAGGTTTAACAGGTTTTATTGAAGAGATTAAGCACAGTGCAGTGTTGCTCTGAACTCTGCACAGCCGGAACTGGAAGGTGAAGGGAAGACAAATGATTAGTTCAGGCTCAGTGGGAAATTTCATTCGTTGATTTGAAGAAGAGGATCTGGTTGTTGACTCACGTTTCCAGAGAAGTTGAAGATTCTTTCACTCCAACCTGTGTGCTGTTTTCCAGAGTTATTCTGATTCGGTGGAGGGCGGAACACGGTTTACCCAGAA